AGGCTCCTGGCTGAGCAGGGAGCCCGATGCGGGGCTCGATCCCAGGACCCCGGGATCATGACCCGAGCCGAAGGCAGACGCTTAACGACTGAGCCATCCAGGCGCCCCTGAAATTATATTTTATAGTGGCTTTAATATCCATTTCCCTGATTACTGCTGACATTGTACATCTTTTCATAAGTTTTTAGGTGATTTGGGTTTCTGCTTCTGTAATTTGACCGTTCATTTGCTTTGCCAGTTTTCCTTCTGAGATACCTGTCTTTTTCTCATGGATTTTTCTTTTCTTTTCTTTAGGTTTTATTTATTTATTTTAGGGGGAGGGGCAGAGGGAGAGAGAAGAGAATGAATCCTGAAGCAATCTCCCCGTTGAGCATGGAACTCAACACAGTGCTCGATCCCAGGACCCTAAGATCATGACCTGAGCCAAAATAAAGAGTCAGTCACTTAACTGACTGAGCCACTCAGGCACCCCTGGATTTTTCTTTGATGGTTTCATGTCCTGAAAATATCTTCTCCTGGTCTGTTGTCTCTAAACTTTGCTTATGGATGATTCTTGCAATGTACAATTGATTTTCATATATAGTGTCATGAAAATTATCCTTCCTTCCTCTCTGTGCCTTTTGTATTTTAAGAAATCCTCTCTATCCTAAGGTAATGAAGATAGGGCCTTCTCTTTTCCCTTGATAGGATTTTCAAGTTGTACATTTTACCTCGTCTTTAAATCCACTTACAATTTATTTCTCTTTAGTGTGAGAGATGGGGAATCTTTTTTTCTTGATCTATTTGGAGGGGGGGCTCTCGGTTTTGCTCTCTTTGTACTGTATGTCCTGTCAGGACAAACTCTTTAATAGCTCTATAAGAAATCTTCATATCGGATAGAAGAAGTCCTACCAGCTATACTCGCTAAATATTGTTCTTTCTTTGAAATAGGCAAACCATGGCTCATGAGCTAAGTATGATCGGAAGGGTTGCCAACCAAGAAGCATAACCAAAGAATAATACACAACAGAGACCCTGTGGAGAAAATAGTCACTATCTGGCCATTGCTTGGTTTGGACTAGTTTTGGCCCTTTGGTCTTCCATGTGACTTTTAAGATCTGCTAATTGAGTTCCTTGAACAATCCAATTGGGATTTTGATGGAAATGTCATTGAATTTACAGATTAATTTCAGAGAGAATTGCCATGTTTCCATCAGTGAGGTTTTATTCTCTCATTTATTTAGGTCTTAAGTCTTTCAGTAAAGTATTGTAATTTTCTCCTTAAAGGTCTCACACACCTCTATCAAATGTATTCCCAGGTACTGGAGAGTGTTTGTTGCTACTGTAATGGAAATTTTTTCAAATGTTTTAACTATTTCAAAGTTTTTCTAAATGTTTGTGGCTGGACTATAGGTGATTTTTATACTTTTATGTTTTGATTTGTATCTACAATCTTGTGGAATGTTCTCACTAGCTCTGATGGTTTGTTCATAGATTCCCTTGGATTCTCTATGTAGGTGGTGGAGGAAGTCATGGGCAGGACGTGGCTGTCGGGTAACTCATGAGCTGGACTCCAGCAGTCAAGATCCGCCCCCTCCACAGCTTTCCTTGGAGTGTGCACTCTACCTGCCTTCCCCATTCCCAGAAGCTGCCCCAGGGACACCGTCTTAAGACAGTGATGTGGTATTGAGACTATCTGGACAATACACCTCTCTGAACCTAGTTAAGGCCTTTACACAGACCTTTAAGATTCTGGCAGGCTCGTCCTGTGGCTGCCCAAGAAAAGCCTTGTAAGTAATTCCCCTGGTTTATTCAATTGGCCACCTACCCATCTGGAGTGGCCCGCCTCTTCCTTCCATCTCTCCCTGCCCTCCAATCACACCGGGGAAACTCCAGAGGAGGTTGCCAACCAACAATAGATCATTATATTGGGTGTGAATCATGATACTTCAGTGTCTTCCCTTACAATTTTTACTTTTTTTTTTTCTTTGTATTTACTTAGGACACTGCCTGGGATCTGCTAGTTAATATTGAATAGAAGCCGGGAGACATGTTTCTAATATTATAGGCAGTTCCAACCCAGCTGGTATTTGCTGGAGGTAATCTGAGTAGCTGCCCTTTATCAGTTTAGAGACGACTGGTGTTCTGGTTTAGTATTTATCCTGCTCAGAACATGTGGTGCTTCCTGGATCTGAGGAGTCTTTCCTCAGCCGCTGTATCTCTCAATATTGTTTCTCCTCCATTTTGTCTGTTCTATCCTAATGGGTATTCTCATTTTCTTTCTTCATGTTTCATTGTGATATTCCATCTTTTTAGATCTCTGTGCTTCATTCTGTATAATTTCCTTAGGTTTATGGCCTGCTTGTCTGTATCTAATCTTCTGGTGAACCCCTCCATCAAGTTTTACATTTTATTGACTATATTTTTCATTTCCAGATTTCTTAAATTCCTATTTAAAATCTGCCTGTTTGTGGGGTGTGTGGGTGGCTCAGTCAGTTAAGCATCTGCCTTTGGCTCACATCATGATCCCAGGTTGCTGGGATCGAGTCCTGCATCCGGCTCTCTGCTCAGCGGGGAGCCTGCTTCTTCCTCTCCCGCTCCCCCCTGCTTGTGCTCTCTCTCTCTCTCTCTCTCTCTCGCTCTGTCAAATAAATAAATAAAATCTTTAAAAAATAAAATAAACTCTGCCTGCATGTTTTTCTTAGCAACTGATTCTATTCTTATGCTTTTGGTTCCTCCTTTCATTGCTTTAGCTCTTTCAAATGAACTTATTTTCAAAATTCTACCAGGTCCTTCTTGTGTCTGAAGTTCCTGGGATTTAATCCTACCATTTGTTCCTTCTCTTGCTTGTGCTACTTTTTAGCTTTGGATCAGACTGTGAAATCAGATTCAGCGGTGCCTTACGTGGGGAATCCTGGTACGCCTCAGCGGAGAGAGGGTCCCTTCAGAATGGTTTTCCATTTGCTTCTACATAGTTATCACTGTCCGGAGACTAATTTTTTAATTGAATTTCTCAGCTCAGACTAGGTTCCTGGATCATGTAGGTAGTATAAATTTAAATCCCAAACATTGTGACTACAGGCTTGTGGTTACTAATTCTCAAGAATCTTTCATGTTTCTTTTGGGAGTCAGGTCAAGATAGGTACGTTTCCTTGGGTTTTTCCCTAGGCTGGCGGACTGATTTTCTGATCTGTCCTTGGCATGTGTTGTAGCCTTTGGAGGATCCTGGCTCTGCTGGAGGCTTCAGTTCCAACTCTGTTTTTTTGTGCAGGCCCAGTTGTAGGCACTTTCTGTCTAAGCAATAAAATCTGAGCACCTAGGTTTCACCAGGAATGACAATCTCCCCCCGCATATCATTACTTTCTCTCCTTATATCAGTTGTAATTTTTACTTTCCTGAGATCATAGGTATCATGCAAAATACTTTATCAAACATTTTTAAGTGATGTTATCTGCCTACAGTTTTTAGGATATCACCTCAGCAATGTTGCTAGCCTTGTAAATCTATGACAGTTCTGTCCTTTCTTCTCCCCGAATAATAGGCCAGAGCGGCCTCTGAGACTCTCAGACCCCATCATTTCTCAGATGTGCTCACTCCCGAGTGACTAGGGCCTTGGTGAACATGGCCAAGGTAAGGTCTGGACATTGGAGAATGAGAGCCCCTATTTTGGGTATTCAATTGCTGCCGAGCTCCAGGGCAAAGAACGTGTGGCTTGGAGCTCCTTAGCTAAGAAAAGGCAGTGCTCAGACAGCCTGATGAGCCAACAAATGGCTGAGTGTGACAGAAAGAACATGAACGTTTGGAATCGAGAGGCCTAAATCCCAGCTGCTCCTCTCATTTTCTGTGTGGCTTCAGCAAGCCACTTAACCTCTAGAAACCTGCTTCAGCATCTGTAAGATGGTCATAATAAAGCTCATTTCATAGGATTGTGATAGTAGCTTATGGGCTTTATTTTACATCAGAGGTTAAGAGTACCCATTAAGAGTCAGCAGGCCCAAATCGAAACCTTGCTTTGCCTCTTATAATGGTCTTGGGCAAACTCTCCCGGGCTGTTTCCTCATCTGGAAAATAGGTATATCAGTGCTGCCTACCTCGAAGGTTGGAGGGAGGGGAGCGGAGGACTGTGTTGATTACTTAGCACCTCATCTGTGAGAGCAAGCCCTCTGAAGGTGGCCGCTAGCATTATTTTGGCGTCTTAGAACTTACGCATTTTCTTGGGCTGCCTCTTCAGCCTTTGAGACCTTCCTGTAGCAATATATCATCTCAATGAGCAGCCACAAGGTGAGGAAGACCAGGAGGATGTACATCATGATCTCTGAGACCACAGAGGTGAAGTCCTCTCCAGCTGCAAGGGGGAGAGTGAGGCTCAGAATATGCATGCCCAACAAAGCCAGATCTGTCCCTGGCTCCAAGATATAGGAGCCCTATTTTCAAGTGGGGCTTAAATAAGCCCTGGGGCTAAGGAGCTCGAGAAGATGTCGGAGAGATTTAATATCCTCTGACACTCCTCTCTGTCCACTTTCTCACCGACTTTCTTCTGGAGTGGGGGCTGCGGAGGAAGAAATAACAGAGCAGTGGAAGGAATCCTGGAACTGAGTGAGATGTAAGAACTGGGTCCCAATTTTATGTGAAGAGCCATTTCCCTTATTTGAGACTCATCTCCCTACAGTGTAAGGTAAGGGTAACCGTTCCCACCAATACATTACCTAGTGTGTTCCAGAACGTCTTGTGAGATGTGAAGGTCTACACAGATGTGGGGAACATGTCTAGTTCAACCACCCGGGTCCTCTGACCTTAGCGTAGCAGAGGGAGAGAGCGTGGGAAACGTGTCCGGGGCCAGGGCAGTCAGCCGGCCCGGTGAGCTGGGGCGTGTTCTCTACAAGTCTGGATTTGGAAACAAGGTCCTTCCCAGTCCGTCTTCCTTCCACATCATCCCAAACCCAAACAGAAAGGAGAATTGGAGCATTCCATGTATTAACCGGGCTTTCTGAAACACAAATCTGATCCTGCCATTTTCATGCGTAGAACCCTCCATGTTCCCAGCTGCCCTCAGGAGAAAGACCAAACTCTGTTAGCGCGACATGTAAGACCATCCACAGTCCAGCCCTTTTCTCCTCATTGCCATTCGACGCACTGGCAAAACTTCACTTCCCATATACACTGTGGTCTTTTGGGATCTGTGGACATCTATTCATCCCCTTTCCTCTTCCTCGATGGTACTGCACTCCCCTCTGCTACCTCTGTCTCAATATCCCCTCCTGGTTTTCAGTCCCCTGAGCATTCTCCCCAATGCCACTGAAGGGCCCCCGTCTGTGAAACCTTCCTCAGCCTCTCATGCAGAGCTCTCCATGTCCTCCTCCGTGCACTTTTCCTCATCCGTCCATCGTGACACCTCTCAGGGTGTACTGTCATGTGTTTCTCTCTCTTCTCTACTGATGGTGTGCTTATTAAGGACATATTTTACTTATTTCTGAATTATCAGCCTGTCGTCTCATCCCGGAATATTTGAAGTACTCAGTAAGTATTTGTTGAATGAATGAATATAAATAAATATTGATCTTTGTTTCATGGCCAATCAAAATGACAATTAAAACATGATATATGGCAAATGTCCTGATAGATCTTCCTTTCTAGTGGGAAGGAAGGCTGTAGCCACATGTCCCATTGCTAACTCCTACCAGTAAACTAGATTCATGGTCCTTGGTTATCCAGAGGCCCCGGTCATCCATAAGACCTTGCTCATTAGCTCACTGAAAGCACAGAATAGCCATAGCCATGACCCTCAGCTCAGAAAAGCAGTCCAAAGTCTTCACGATCGTCCAGGTTTCCTGGATGCTGGACCTCCCAGAGCTGGAGGTCAGATGCCGCTTGAGGCACGGAAGAACACCATACACATCAAATGTCTTTTCGTGGGCTTGACACTACCTGATTTATGATGTATTCTTCTTAAAGTGTGCACTTTTTAAATGTAATAGCCCAGAAGTAGTAACACAGGAAGGCATCTGTGCTCACTACTTTTAGTCACTTCTAGGTGAAGAGACCTCAGATTTTTCTCTTAGAGCCAGGAGGGCAGAGCTTAAAGTAGGATAATTTCAGCTTGAACAAAGAGAACCAGAGAGATTCTGGGAGACCATAGGAATGGAGGAAATGTGGTGGGGTGTGTCATGGTGGAGTGTGTAGCTCTGAGCCTTATGGGAGCAGTGAGTATCTGGGGGGAGGTATTCTCAGAGGCTGCCAAGGGGTCACAGAGGAAGAGAAAGAGAGGAAGGAGAAGGGAAAGGGAAGGGGAAAGGAAGGGGAGGGAAGGGAAGAGGGAAGGGAAGAAGGAAGGGAAAAAAGTTCTGAAAAGAAGGAGAAGAAAGAAAGAGTAGCGGGGAATGGGATGGTGGTAGAAGGAAAAGATGCAGTGGACATAGAGCTAGCCCGGTGGGCAAAAGAGCTGGCTTGTAGTCCTGCGTCTGGTGCCAATTTGCTTCACGTCTCTAGGCAAGATCCTCACTGATCTCCCCGCCACAAAGTGAGGGGCACCAGAGCTGCACCCTCCAATCAATCACCAAGGGAGTCATTTCTACTGACATACACCAGACCTCACTCCAGCCTACCGAACTCATACCCACAAGAGTGGTACGGAGAGGTCTACAATGAAGACAAGCCCCTGGGCGATTCTGACACCTACTCTTTGGTCAGAACACCTGGATGAAGTGAGCACCAAGCTTCCTCCCAGTCCTAGCACCCCACGAGGCTCTGTGGGTCTGATAACAAACTTGGTTTCCCTCTATTCTTACCCAGGCCTTGCTCTGGTGCCCAGCAGGTGGACTGGTTCAGCTTTGCCACACTTTCCACTGGCTGCGCGGGGGGGGTCTCTGGAGGCAAAAGCCTGAGAAAGCAGTGGGTGGAGACAGGCACCTTCCGAGGGGCTGGCCGACAGCGGCCTGCAGTTCCCGGCGGTGAGCAGCAGAGGGCGCCAGCCTCTCCTCCCGGGAGGAAGAGGTGTGTAAACAGAGAGCATAATGGAACTTGGGAACAGAAAAATACCTTAGAGAGCTTCTGGTCCAACCTACTCGTTGTACACAAGAGGAGACGGGCTCAGAGGGGAAAATGGCTCATCAGGTCTAAATGTCAGTGGTCTGTGAGTGCTTCTGCACGTTCAGAACTGACCTACCTTCCGTTTTAATCATATTGTCCACATCAGGACAAAGTCGTGACCTCTCTTGCTCGGCCATTCGCTCTCAAGTTTGCTTTATGAATTCTATCACAATAACATGAGAAAAAAAATAAACTTGTGGTGTGGAAGTTGGGATTCTTGGGAATCCTAGGAAGAGCCCTATCTTGACTTTGACCTCTTCTTTCAAGCTCCACACCTGTTGCCTGCTCACCATTCTGCATCTTGGGGCAGCAATAATGCTAAGAAGATGCTGGAAATAGAATGCTTGAGAAGAGGCTAAGAAAAATGGAACCATCGTTTAACCTGGATGAGAAGACACACAAGGAGGTCCATGTATCAGTCTTCTGACACTTGAGGGAGTGTTTGCAAGGGGCTGGGAGCCACAGTTCCCGGAGTCCCTTGAAAGCACAAGAAGAACCCTGCATGAGAACACTCAAACCTCGCCATCACGATTCTGGACTGGATTAAAAGAGAACATTTAAATTGGGTTGATGAAAGGACTTCCTTGTCCCCCCAACAAGAAACTAGCTGTAGGAAATCTGAAGATTTTCAACTAAAGACTAGAAACTTGTTTCTCCCAGCTGAGAATGAGGTTATGAAATGAGAGATGCCAGGGATGGGGAAGGAGGGTTGCTTGTGTGATTATTGTGTGTGTGTGGGTGGAGGGGGGACAGAAGACAAAAGGCTGTCAAGCTTTGGTTTAGAACAGTGGTTCTCAAAGTGTGGTCCCCAGCAGCTCGGGCATCTCCTGGCAATTGGTTAGACGTGCAAATTCCCAGGCTCTATCTACAGAATCAGAAAGTCTGCATTTTAAAAAGTCCTGCAGGGGATTTTGAGGCTTGCTGAAGTTTGAGCACTGCCCGTTCAGAGATATGTATGGCTTACATACAGGAGAGTTTGATGACTTCTAGATAACCTCATGAGATTTCTCTGTGCCCATCGAGTCAGGGATTCAACACAAGCCAGAGAAGCAGGTGCAGCTGATTTGGCACCTTTAGGCTTCCGGGAGGCTGTCCTCTTTCTCTAAGGATGAGAGGGGGTGAAGGAAGAGGTCATTCTGTTTTCATCTCTGAGCCTTTCCACTCTGAAGAAAGGCACCGAGAGGCAAGCTGTCAGGCAGCTTGCAGGAAGCTGGCTGCTAAAGGAAGACAAGTCAATGGTGACATTTTTAGATATCACCACTCCCAATATACGGGGTTTGCACTCCGCAAGGGTCTCATTTGTGTGGAAACCCTCTATCCTCCCTCCCCTCAAGAGCAGGGCACCCTCGAGACCCTGTGCCCCAGCCTCACCCTCCTCGGTGACTCGGAGGGGGATCAGCCGTGTAGTCTTCACAAAGGGGCGGTGTGCCTCAAAAGCAAATTCCCGGGACACGTTGCAGGTGTAGAGGCCGGAGTCATTCAGAGTGACGTTAAGCACAGTGATGGACACATCCTGCAAGTCTTTGCTCCCATTCCATTGCAGGCGTCCCTGGAAAGGGCTCTCCACCTCCTGCTGGCCGTTCCGATACTCATAGATCTGCAGGTAGAGAAGCAAAAGAGAGTAGGGCCAGGAGAGAAAATTGGGTAGGAGAGCCGGGATGGGGACAGGGCAGAGCAAAGGAGCAGAACTTGCACGAACAGGGAAGAAAGAGGACAGTGTTACAAGGAGATCCCAAGTGTGGGAGTGGGACGAGGAGGCTCAGAGGAGGGCAGGGAAGAGAGAAAGGCAGGGAAAGACGAGCAAAGGTAAACAGGTATTGGGGCGTATGGACACAGCAAAAGAAGAGGCAGAAAGGGGGAGGCAGGAAGAAGGATGGCAGGAAAAAAGAGGTGCAAGGAAAGATAACAAACGAAGGTAAGTGAAGGGGACGCCTGGGTGGCTCAGTTGTTAAGCGTCTGCCTTCGGCTCAGGTCATGATCCCAGGGTGCTGGGATCGAGCCCTGCATTGGGCTCCTCTGCCCGTCTCACTCCCCCTGCTCGTGCTCTCTCTCTTTCAAATAAATAAATAAAATCTTTTTTAAAAAATTTTTTAAAAGGTGAGTGAAGCATACAGGAGACCAGGAGGGGGAAATTGAGAGAAAGGAAGAATTGGAAGGAGACAGAGAGAGAGCAAGAGAGCGTAAGATGTGTCAAGGGCGCAGCCGGTGAGAGAACAGAGCAGAGACCGAGAAAGGCAGCATCCTGAGTCACGAAGGCATCTGAAAGCCTTGACCTCAAAACTTGACTCTCTGATCTGGTTCTCACTGAGAGGATGTGGTTAGTCGGGGTCAGGTCACGGGAAGGGGACCCAGGATGCAAAAAGTGTCACAGATGAGCAGAGCTGCCAACTGATATGCACACCTCAGGTCTTTCACTTTGGGCTGAATTATAATGGAAATACGGTCTCAAAACTTCTTTTCTCAGACACTCCCACCTTCTTATTCTCTACAGCCGTACTGTCCATCCCAGTCTCCACTTGGCATGCGTGGCTACTTACATTAAAAATTAAATGACTAGATGGGCGCCTGGGTGGCTCAGTCGGTTAAGCGGCTGCCTTCGGCTCAGGTCATGATCCCAGGATTCTGGGATCGAGTCCCACATCGGGCTCCCCGCTCTGCGGGAAGCCTGCTTCTCCCTCTCCCACTCCCCCTGCTTGTGTTCCTGCTCTCGCTATGTCTCTCTCTGTCAAAAAAATAAATAAAATC